AACCCCGAGAACCCTTGGAGACCCCGGAGAATCCGGAGAACCCCCGGAGAACCCCCGGAGAACCCAGAGAAACCCGGGAGAACACAAAGAACCCGGAGAACCCGGAGAACCCCCGGAGAACCCCCGGAGAACCCCCGGAGAATCCCCGGAGAAATCGGAGAACCCGGAGAACCCGGCCAGAGAACCCGGAGAACCCGGAGAACCCGGAGAATCCGGAGAACCCGGAGAACCCCTGGCGGAGAACCCCCGGAGAACCATCGGAGAACCCAGAGAACCCGGAGAACCCGGAGAAAACCGGAGAACCCGGTCGGAGAACCCGGAAAACCCGGAGAACCCGGAGAATCCGGAGAACCCGGAGAACCCCCGGAGAACCCCGGGCCGGAGAACCCTCGGAGAACCCGGAGAACCCGGAGAACCCCCGGAGAACCCGGAGAACCCGGCCGGAGAACCCGGAGAATCCGGAGAACCCGGAGAACCCTGAGAACCCGGAGAACCCGGAGAACCCAGCCGGAGAACCCGGAGAACCCGGAGAACCCGGAGAATCCGAAGAACCCGGAGAACCCCCGGAGAACCCCCGGAGAACCCTCGGAGAACCCGGAGAACCCGGAGAACCCGGAGAACCCGGTGAACCCGAACCCGGAGAACCCGGAGAACCCGGAGAACCCCCGGAGAACCCCCGGAGAACCCCCGGAGAACCCTCGGAAAAATGGGAAAACCCGGAGAACCCGGAGAACCCGGCCAGAGAACAAGGAGAACCCGGAGAACCCGGAGAATCCGGAGAACCCGGAGAACCCCCGGAGAACCCCCGGAGAACCATCGGAGAACCCAGAGAACCCGGAGAAACCGGAGAACCCGGAGAATCCGGAGAACCCGGAGAACCCGGAGAACCCGGAGAACCCGGAGAATTCTCGGAGAACCCGGAGAACCCGGAGAACCCGGAGAACCCAGAGAACCCGGAGAACCCAGAGAACCCGGAGAATCCAGAGAACCCGGAGAACCCCCGGAGAACCCCCGGAGAACCCCCGGAGAACCCCCAGAGAACCCGGAGAACCCGGAGAACCCGGAAAACCCGGAGAACCCGGAGAACCCGGAGAACCCGGAGAATCCGGAGAACCCCCGGAGAATTCCCGGAGAACCCCCGGAGAACCCTCGGAGAACCCGGAGAACCCGGAGAACCCGGAGAACCCAGAGAACCCGGCCGGAGAACCTGGAGAACCCGGAGAACCCGGAGAATCCGGAGAACCCGGAGAACCCCCGGAGAACCCCCGGAGAACCCTCGGAGAACCCTCGGAGAACCCGGAGAACCCAGAGAACCCAGAGAACCCAGCGGGAGAACCCGGAGAACCCGGAGAACCCGGAAAACCCCCGGAGACCCTCCGGAGAACCCTCGGAGAACCCGGAGAACCCGGAGAACCCGGCCGGAGAACCCGGAGAACCCGGAGAACCCGGAGAACCCAGAGAACCCGGAGAACCCCCGGAGAACCCCCGGACCCCCGGAGAACCCTCGGAGAACCCTCGGAGAACCCTCGGAGAACCCGGAGAACCCGGAGAACCCGGAGAACCCGGAAAACCCGGAGAACCCGGAGAATCTGGAAAACCCGGACAACCCCAGGAGAACCCCCGGAGAACCCTCGGAGAACCCGGAGAACCCGGAGAACCCCGAGAACCCGGAGAACCCGGAGAACCCGGAGAACCCGGAGAACACTGAAAGGAAGAAAAAAAAAAAAGAAAAAAAAAAAAAAAAAAAGAAAGTAAACCACATGAAAACTCCCGGAGACCCTCGTAGAACCCTCGGAGAAAACCGTAGAACCTGGAGAACCGGAGAACCGCGGCAAATTACACCGGAGACCCCGAGAACCCGGAGACTCCCGTGGAAAACCCCCGGAGAACCCCGTAGAACCCGGAGAAACCCGAGAAAAGAAAAAAAAGAACCCGGAGAACCAACCGGAGAACTCCGGATAATCCGTAGTCCTCCGGTAACTCGGCTAAAACCCCCCGAAACCTCCGTAAACCCTGAACCCCGAGAACCCGAGAACCGGAGAACCCCCGGAAAACCCGGAGAACCCTCCCGGAGAACCCGGAGAACCCGGAGAACCCGGAGAACCCCCGGAGAACCCCCAGAGAACCCGGAGAACCCGGAGAACCCTCCTGGAGAACCCGGAGAACGCGGAGATCCCCCGGAGAACCCGGAGAACCCGGAGAACCCAGAGAACCCTCCCGGAGAACCCGGAGAGACCCCGGAGAACCCTCGGAGAACCCCCGGAGAACCCGGAGAACCCGGAGAACCCCCGGAGAACCCGGAGAAACCCCGGAGAACACGGAGAACCCGGAGAACCCGGAGAACTCCCGGAGAACCTCCGGAAACCCGCGGAGAACCGGAGACCCCGGAGACCCCGAGAAACCTGGCCGGTAGAACGTCGGAAACCCGGAGAACCCGGATAATCCGGACGACCCCGGAGAAACCCCCCTGAGAACCCCCAAGAGAACCCTGATAACCCGGAGAACCCGATAACGGAAGGAGAACCCGGAGAACTCCGGAGAATCCGGAGAACCCGAGAACTCCCAGAGCACCCTCCGGAGAACCCGTAGAAACCCGGAGAACCCGGGAGAACCCGGCCGGACAGACCCGGAGAAGAGAACCCGGAGAACCCGGAGAACCCGGAGAACCCGGAGAACCCGGAGAACCCGGAGAATCCGGAGAACCCGGAGAACTCCCAGAGACCCTCCGGAGAACCCGGAGAACCCGGAGAACCCGGAGAACCCGGCCGGACAACCCGGAGAACCAGGAGAACCCGGAGAATCCGGAGAACCCGGAACACCCCCGGAGATCCCCCGGAGAACCCGGAGAACCCGGAGAACCCGGAGAACCCGGAGAACCCGGAGAACCCGGAGAACCCGGAGAATCTGGAGAATCTGGAGAACCCGGAGAACCCCCGGAGAACCCCCGGAGAACCCCCGGAGAACCCGGAGAACCCGGAGAACCCGGAGAACCCGGAGAACCCGGAGAACCCGGAGAACCCGGAGAACCCCCGGAGAACCCTCGGAGAACCCGGAGAACCCGGAGAACCCGGAGAACCAGGCCGGAGAACCCGGAGAACCCGGAGAATCTGGAGAGCCCGGAGAACCCGGAGAACCCCCGGAGAACCCTCGGAGAACCCGGAGAACCCGGAGAACCCAGAGAACCCGGAGAACCCGGAGAACCCGGAGAACCCGGAGAACCCGGAGAATCCGGAGAACCCGGAGAACTCCCGGAGAACCCTCGGAGAACCCGGAGAACCCGGAGAACCCGGAGAACCCGGAGAACCCGGAGAACCCGGAGAACCCGGAGAACCCGGAGACACCGGAGAACCCGGAGAACCCCCGGAGAACCCCCGGAGAACCCTCGGAGAACCCGGAGAAAAGGACTCTTCTTGTCAGACGAATGTTAAGTAATTTGGTTACAGATGCCAGGGTACTTTGCTTATTATTGTCCTCCTCCTCCTCCTCCTCCTCCCCTGTCTCCTCCTCCTCATCGTCCTCCTCACCCTGCCCTCATAAGCGGTAGGCGGGTCACCTGTACTGCCCAAATCGCGTGCACATCTTATGCTGGTTGTAGAACCATCATATGTTTCGATGCGCAGAACAGAAGCATTATTTAGAAACGATTCATTCAGGGACGAGAACGGCACGGGCTTTTGATAGCTTTTCGAAAAGAGCAGGGGACGAGGAAAATGGCTGGGCGTTTGGGAAGGCATGGCCTAGAAACCGTTTTCCCGCTTGATCGCCGTAGTAATCACCATCATTCGCGGAGAGGGGGGGGGGAACCCTATTAGGGCAGTCTCGATTATGGCGGTCGTGAGGAAAGAACGAAAGTCAGAGGTTCCCCCAGTTTTTAACAGAAATAGGAATCTCTGACTTTTCGCGGAGGGGGCGGCGGGCCCTGAAGGCAAGGCCCACCTACCCATCTCAGATTCTTCTCGCTCCTCCTTCATCACATCTTTCCCCCCATTCGTTTAAGCCAGCTTGCTCTGCCTTGCTCCTCGTCCCCCCCCCTCGTCCTCTTCACCCTCGCCTCGCCCCCCCAACTCCTCGCCCCCCTCACTCAATGGCCCGTTGGCTCAACTACTTATTTGAATACGTGCTTGGCCCAGCTACTCATAATCATGAAAAAAACCCGAAGGGGTCATGCCGGCCGCAGGCGCCAATTCTGCAGCGCCATCTGCATCCTTACTACTACTTTTCCAGGACGTCGCTATCAATACGCAAGCCACGAATGGTCTGAAAACCGTGTTCCTAATTCCATTTCGGGGCGCCCGTGTTTGACCGCCCAGAATGAGGGATGGCAACCAAGTGTAGCATCGTCATCATCGTCACCATCAACATCGCCATCATGCTCGTCATCGTCATCGCCGTCATCATCGTCTTCACCAGTCATGTCCGAACATCGAGACGCTTTATTTTCGATGCGTTTCGCTTGATTCTCGAGGCGCTTGATGTTCGAGACAGTTGTCAAGCATGTTGGTTGAGTTGTTAGGTATTTTGCTTATCCCCCTTGTTGGCTTGTTTCTCCCCTCTCCTCCTTTTCCTCCTCATCCGCAATCCTCCCAGTCAGATGTCCACAAAGAGAGGTTGAAGGGAAAGGGGGAGGGAGGCGAGGGGGGGACCAGGCAGAACAGGCAGGATGGTGGGAGGACCAGGCAGGCATAAACGAGACCAGGCAGGACCAGGACCAGGAAGGTTGACCAGGCATGATGATGACAGACCAGGCAGGGGGGCCATGAAGCACCAGGCCATAGTAGTGGTGGCATCAGCACCCCTTTCAGAAACAAAAAAACGAGCAGGCTAGAATAATATTGTGCTCCCAACCGTCTCTTCACTTGAGACGTCGCTTAACCGCTTGCCACTCGGCAGGAGGATGGCGTCTATCCGCGAAGGTGCAGGGCCCAACCTGCTTGCACAGTGTTCTACCAGCAGCATCATGTAGATGTCTGCGATTCTGCAACGCTCGTCCCCACTGAAGGTCAGAAAACAAACGCATTGAACCGCTGACGAGCGTCGCTTGGCAGCTTTGTCAGCGACGCCGTGGATGTCAGGCCACCGCCCAACAGTGGAATGTCACACTGACCCTCTGCATTGTATCCAAAAACATGAGCGCCACCATTGCTCTTTGACAGGACTGTCTGGTCCAGTCCAGCCAGCGCTGATGTGTAGGCCAGGGCTCCGTCCAAAGCCTGGATGTCGCATTGTCTGCTGTCGTTCGAGCTACAAGCCACAGCGGTACCACCGTTCATGAGCATGACTGCTGCGTGGTGCCCTCCAGCCGCAATTTGCGTGTAGGTCAGGCTTCCATCCAACATCGGGATGTCGCATTGTTCGAACTCGTTGTCGCCACAGGCCACAGCAGTACCATTGTTCTTGAGCAGGACCGCGTGGTAAGTCCCAGCGGAGACCTGAGTGTAGGTCAGGACTCCAACCAACGCTGGGATTTCGCAGGCCGGGCTGGCCAATTCGCGCGCCCTAGGCGGCTTTAGGCCATGGGGTACTGCGGCCCCATCGCTCCTCGGCAGCACGATGTGATCGTTGCCCGCAGACAGACGCTGCGACATAGCAGAGGCCTGGGCCCAACTCTGGGACCCACGCTACTTCCACCTCAGGCCTGAACCTGTACTCCCTCAGCGTGCGGACTCACAGGAAACAGCAGCGCCATCGCTCCTGAGCAGCACAGCGTTGCAGCCTCCAGCGGCTATGCGCGTGTAGGTCACACATAGGTCCAGCGCTGGGATGGTGCACTGGCTGCGATTATTTCCGCCGCGCGCCGCCACAGTGCCGTCAGATCTGACGAGCGCTGCGAGGACAGATCCACCCAGCGGCAACCTCCGCGTAGGTGAGGCCGTCCGGCAGCGCTGGGATGTCCAGCACACCATTGTCAGGGCAGCCGCAGCCCACGGCTGTGCCATCGCTCCTGAGGAGCACTGCGAACCCACATCCACAAGACATTGACAGATTGGGCCAAAACGGCTACGAGAAAAGAAAGGGGAGGATGAGAAAGAAATGGTAGCCGACAAGCTGGCGGCCAGCGAGCTGGCCTTCAACCGAGAGAGATGGATGATGATGATAATGATGATGCTGATGATGATGATGAGGAGGAGGAAGAAGGGAGGAGGAAAAGGAGGAGGAGGGGGGGGAGGAGGAGGAGGGGGAGGAGGGGGAGAAGGAGAGGGGGGGAGGAGGAGGGGGGGGAGGAGGAGGAGGGGGAGGAGGGGGAGAAGGAAGAAGAGGAGGAGGACATGTGGAACAGCTAGCAGAGGTTTTAGTATGATGATAACGGTGATGATAATGATGATGTTACTTCCTCTCTTGTTCCCTCGTTATTGTACTCCTCATCCCATATTTTCCTGCTCCTCATATCCTCCTGATTTGCCGCCAGCTTGCTGGCCGCCAGCTTGCTGGCCGCCAGCTTGCTTGCATGTCAGCGCTTTCTCTTGTTCTCCTTGATCCTGCCTCCTCGTCGTCGCCGTCCACCTTCTCCCAGCAGCGAGCGGCAGCAAGGAGGAGTCATTGGCAAGGAACAGTAAGGCTTATATGTGTCTGTGTTGCTTTTCAGCAGGGGATCCGGGAACACTCTTACACCCTGGCATGCACGGGCATCTCTACCAACACGATAGATTGGCAAGGGCATTCTAGTTGCAACACCCCGTCACATAACATCTACTGCAACACAAATGCAACGCAGATAGCGATACATTGCAACACAGTGTAGGTGGGGATAACACTTTCAGACAACTTCCATGACTAGACTCTGAACATCACGTGAGCTCCCAAGTCCTGCAGCCTCGACAGTGCGTTACTTCCACTCAGAGTCCTGCAGGCACCCCAGATACATGCCAAACTCGTCTTGCACTGGCCTCTGCAGGCATCGAAAAAATACATGCCAACATCGTCTTGCGCAGGCAAGCTGTCTGCTAAGTGGTTGCTCCAGGGGCGGGTTGGGGGGGGGGCATGTGATTGGAGAAGAAGAAGTGGGTGGGGCAACCACATGTCACTTCTAACATCTGCCAGCATGTAATCAAAATCTGATGGATGCCAGCGCACTGGCTTCCACATACTGTCCTGGCCAGCCTCACGCAGCAGTGGCCACCGCTGAGCAGTGGCACGCCTTGCCCGCCCCCAGCGTCACATTTCCCTTGAGGTAGACTGCAGGCTTGATCGGCATCAATCCTTTGGTCGAGTTCCAGCGCACCATCCACATGACTATGGTGCCCTCGTTCATCCACACACTTGGGAGCTCCTTGGATGCGATGTTGGCCGGGGTGACTGCAGCCTGTTCTGAGCTAGTTTCAGCAGCCACGAAAGCAATCTTGTGAGTGAGCTCAGCAGTGAAGCACTTCGGGTCTGCGTCGTTGATCGTGATCTTGTGGTAGGCGAGCTTCGGCACCCCATTGGCAACAGCCTGCATAGCTGCTCCCACAGTTTGCACCACATTGTTCATCACCACCAGCTCCTTCTCGTCCTTGATCTCCCACTGGTGGTGTTTCTTCTTGTCTAGCTCCTCTTGTGTGAGAATCTTAAAGCTTCCCTTCCCGAACTGCGCCAGCATCGTGTGAATTGCAATGATGATATCCTTGGACTCCTTGTTGATGAGGTAGATGTTGTGGTTAGCGCGGATCTGAAGCTGGACTTGGACGCTTGTGTTGACCTTTACCTCCCAGAGGAGCGCATGGGGGATGCTGGAGGCGTCCACCACGCAGACATCAGCAACCTTCTGCTTCTTCGCTGGGGAGGGGATCCCATCGTTACCGTCAGCTGCACGCTTGAGGGGATTGGGGACTCCAGCACCACCAGCACCAGCACCAGGTGCCTTGGTCGTGTCCTCGATGACCCCATGCTTCTTGGTGAACTTGTCCAGCCACTCGCTGAACTGACCCCCGAACTGCGGATGGTTCTGCCACTTCTTCACCACCTCGACCGGGATGAACAATTTGTTCTTGTCTGGTCCGCTAACCACCAGCATATTCATCTTTGGAAGAGCCGGATAAGGTTCCAGGAGGTCGTCGTTGAGTTTGGAGTCCATCTTGAGCCCTGGGACCTCGAGGGAACCGTCCTTGATTTTTTCTTCTGCGAGCTCCTGCATCGAATGGATTACCCACGTGTATTCCAGCATCGTCTCCGCAATCCCCATGTAAAAGAAACTGGTGGAAAGGACGTTGCGCTGGGAGATGAAGGACTCCAGGAATTCGCCGCACTTGATATTGAGGTCCAGAATGAAACACGCCTTGTGCGATCCTAGGTTTGCCCCAGTTGTGAGGCTCTCAAGGAGGCACTTGCTCGCCTCGGGCCCGAACTGGGAGAACTTTGGGGGGCCATGAAGATAGGAGGCTCGGTGGTCAGTACTAGGAGGCAAAGCATCCGCGCTGAGGTCCTGCAGGATCTTAATGGCACAGGGGGTAGGGGGATGGTAAGAGGAGGAGCAGTATTCTTTGAATTCGCCCATAACTTTTCTGAGGTATGGGGTCTCCGAGGAGAGGTCAGTGTTCCAGGAGCTCTTTCTTCGCTCCTGGACGCCGATGGCAGCGGCGCAGCGATGTGAAAGAGGGGGATAGGGGAGGGAATACGCAGGAGGGGGGGGGGGGGAGAGGAGAGGGGGGGGGGGTAAATGCGATGATAAGGATGGGGGGAGAGAAGGAGGAGGAGCAGCAGGAGGATGAGGACTTGGAGGAGGAGGGGGAGGATGAGGAGGAGGTCACAACAGTTGACCGACACATTCATAGGACAATGACTGGCCATATCTATGCATAGAGGACCCCTCCCTGGACTGTCAGGTTTGCCCCCAAGCGACATACTGCACAACAGTAGGGCCCTACCATGAAATATTGACTATTCTAACTCATGCTCCCTTCATAACATATACCAGCTCAGATGCTCATTATATGATACCCCAATGCCAACAAAAAATATGCACTGCACATATAAAACGCACGACACAGGATTAGACATGCATGCATTATTTACATATGTCACCCCTTGCGTTTCCAGAGCTCCTCGATAATCTTCATCTTTTTGCCAGGAATCTGGTTCGCTTCCTTGGTGCGCCCGATGACCCTCAGCTGGCAGGTGAAGAACGGGTGGTCCTTTAGTTCTGAACACCCCGCTGGAAACACCAGCCTCCCAGGGTAGCTCATCGGCCGCCTGTCCCTCGGATCGACTTGGTCTTTGAAGAGCAGGCTGAAGCTGCTGTCCGGGTTGTGCCCAGCATCGCCAATGGCCTTCACTGCTTTCACTTCCTCCATGTACAGCTTCCCGCGGTTGTACGAGTACACCGGGAGAAGCACACAAGCGACGTTCTTGATATTCTCGTGCAGGATCCAGTTGAGAACCTTCGCCTGCTTGTCGAAATCCTCATTGTGAGACGAGCATGGGGTGGTCCAGTTCAGCATGACAAGCGTGGGCAGCCCGTCCATGGAGATTCCAGTCTTCTTCTGGATCGTGTCGCGCTTGAAGGCAATGATGTCTGCAATGCACTCCTCCACCTTGCCCGTCAGGACTGAAATCTTCACGCACGAACTCAGGAACTTCTCGGCTGCTTTCCTACATTGGCCCTTGATCTTCATCTTGTGCTCCTGTCCGAGGCTCAAGAAGCATCAGCCTCTATCTAAACAGCACCACTGCCAAGGATCTCTGAAGGCCTGCCAATGGGCTCCAATTTCCACCAGCATCGACTCCAGAAAACATAGCAGGTCAATGTGTAGGGTATGGTTCTTAACATGTTGCTGCAACTCGATTTCTTGGGCCCCTGGGGCCCCCGAGGCGCCCTGGACTCCTTAGCACTAGAAGATGGCACCCCTAGGCGTCCTGGTATCTCTGGGCCCCCCACGGGCCTTTTCGAAGGTGGAGGCAGGGGAAAAATGTGCAATGCGGATGCTCCCTGCAGGCGGGCTGCTTGGCGCGGTCACAGGCCCACCCCTCGTTGTAATTTGTTGGGTTTCAGGGCTTGGGGCTGGGTTATAAAGGCGTAAGGTGCCCTTCAGGTTTGAGTGGGGCTGCCATGGTAAGGGTGACAGCTTGGGACGACGATGACGACGATACCGCTCCTCCCCCTCCTCTCCTTCGAATTCGTCATGTAAGGGGTCAGCAAGAGAGGGCAGAAGGGGGGCGAGAGAGGGCAGACGAGAGCACCAGAGGGCAGAGGAGGAGGGCAGAGGGTCCACTGCACATTCCAACAGGCAGAGGGCAGAGGAGAAGGAGGAGTAGAAGGGAGGGCAGATGGGGGAAACGGGGGAGGAGGAGGGAGGAGGAGTGGAGATGATGAGGAGGAGGATTAGGGAGTATATCATATCGCAGGGGTTTCGAGCAGCCAACGCTGTGTTTTTAGATATGTTCGTTTTTTTCCTCATGATGGCTCCTGCTCTGCATGGTAGCGGGCAGCGACAACATTATCGCACTTCTTCTCCCAGTTTTCGAACACCGTAGTATCGTACTCTAGTTTTTTCATGTCCAGGTTGAATTCGTCCACGTCGAGGGACCGCTTGACCTCTTCTGCAGGCGCCAGGGGGGCCTGGAAAATGTGCTCGTCCAGTAGGCGCTTCATCGTTGATAGGTGTACTGCCGGGTCGAAGCTGTCGCTCTTCTCCATCAGCCCCATCTGGATCTCCGTGTGCACGTGGTCCGAGCCCTCAGCCCATGCTCGCACCCATGATGATTGAAGCTTCGCATCGTCAATCGGCGCGGTCAAGCTGATCTCCTGCGCAATGGCAAGCACAGCAGCTGCGCTCTCAGCCATCATCTCTGCCACATGCGGGGTCATCTTCATGCGCAGCATCTGGTTCTGAGCTTCATGTAGGTTCTGGACCCGCTCGATCATCAAGCAGAGGCTCTCGTCAGTGGTCCTCACTCGTGGGATCCACTTCTTAGATTTGCAAGGGAAGTTGAACTTTGGGTAGATCTTCTTGTTGGACAGCACCTCCTCGGACCACGCGCACTGCTGCCAGCCCAGGTTCCCCACGTGAGCCAAGATGGAATCGAGGGCTTTCTTGGGTGCCACCTCCAGTAGCTGCTTCAAGGCCACAGCCCTCTTCCCAGTGATCTGGAACTGCTTGGAAGACATGTTGTTCCACCTGGCAGAAGAGGGGTCCAGAATGCATCACAAGTTTTGGACACAGGCCTGACCATCACGAGGGGCAGTGCAGGGCCAGCGCGCACACGCTGGCGCACGGCATGACCCCATCCCCTGAACAGCTTTTCACATTAAGAAATTCGGCACAATGAGAACTACTCACAATTGCTTACATATCTACTGACACTCCACACCGAACACTTCGTTTTTAGGTTTTGTTTGTTTGTCCACACCACCGGCGCACGAAGCCAGCTGAGTCGCTCATGCCATAACGGTTCGAGAGGTTCTGCAGCATGAAGACCACTTCCACGATGTTGTTAGCACGCCGGATCGAACCTCTGCACGAGAGCTTCATGTTCAGAAGGGCCTCTTCTTCTTTGGAGTTCACTTTCATGGAATGCACATAGATGGCGAGGATGCTCTCATAAAGCTTCAGATGCACCACTTTGAGGTCGTACTCATTCTTCATGAAGTAGAGCAGGATGGATAAGATGGCCACAGCGCGGGCTTGACCCTTGGCATAGCCAAGATAGAAGCCACGCGCATCGTCATCCTCGCTAAGACTTGCAAGCTCAGCTGGTTGAGTAACCAACAAAGGGTCCGAAGCCGTTACGAAGCCGTCCTGGAATATCTCACCGACCAATTGATCTGTGACGTCGCAGCCTGGCGGAGGCTTGAGGCTGCATGCAGGCAGGAAGCTCAGCGCTGAGACATGCACACATTGAGGCAAAGACCCTGCCCTATCCATCTCCAGGATCGGGTCCAACACGCCATGCTCGTAGTGAACGTCGTCTTTCTCGGGGAACACTCGCTTGAGGTACTCAAGGAACTCCTTCTTCGCAGTGAAGCTGTCTAACTCCTTGTTGAGGTAGGTCTTGAGGCTGCCATGCTGGATGCTGAGCGTGTGCATCGCTCGAATGGTCTCCCCAATGATGTTGGCCTCGCGGGTCTCCGTAGACTGGTCCTCTTGCACATCACCCAAACCAATTTGATGATCCACGCTTGTGCAGGCCATGGGGCTGGTCGGGCTGGGCAGCGCATGCGTCGCCAGGGGGGGGATTGGCGTTGCAGAGGCGGCCCCTCCTGCTGGTGGAGTGGAGCATCCCCCTGCTGCATCCACAGGGGAGCCTTCCCCCATGTTCCAAGACATCCTGATGCCAGGAAGCTCAGGCGCAGGAAAAAAATGCATCCCCTCAGGCAGAGCCAGAACAGCTATGTACTTCTTATGGGAGACTGCCCCCACAGACAGAGCAGATTCACCATGCACTCACAGCTGTTTAGAGCGCACCCCCATCACAAATCTCGTGTTGTGACACAGCGGCAGCCCCCTAGACATACCCAAAAACGCTCAACACAACCACGAGACCATAACACATTTCGGCCCCACTACTACGCACTGATCTGTACCAAACTCGCCACCACTACCAGTATCATCGTCGTGTCGCACTCGTCATTTGCATCGTCGTCCATATCTGGAGGAGGAGGGGGGGAGGGGGAGCAATCGATGCACCATGGCTGCCAGCAAGCTGGCTACCATGAGTAGCAGTAGGGGCATGGTTGCCAGCAAGCTGGCTACCATGAGTTCGCACAACTAGCGGCAGGAGGGGTAAGATGTACGGTCTGCGAGTTGTAGCAGGGCTGCCACCATGTGGCTACCCTTTAGCACCTCCTTGCGAAGTCGCTCGACTCACCCCCCCTGCTTGCTTTTTCCAAGGCGCACTCGGACACTCACTCACAATGCATGTAGGCTAGCGAGAACGCAACCCGCTTACCTGTATATCATAATACAATGCAGTGCATGCAGCGTGTTGCGAATTATGCTGACACTGCTGCGCCTGCGAAAACTACACATGAGGATGCTTGCTATATTGCGATTGCTGATGCTGCTGCTGTGCCTCGAGCTTTTGTTTTTCGGCCCGTCTTTTAGCTTTGCGAACTGCCTCACGCGCATTCTTCTTGTCCCGCAAACGTCGGAGTTCTTGCCCAGCCATGTCACTAGGTTCTGGAATGAACTTCTTGTGCCGCGCACGCAGGCCAGGCGGTGGCGTTGGCAATGTCAATCCCTCTATGTCCACCAAGGTCCGTGAATTTACCTTGCTCTCAACGTCTGCGGTCGACATGCGTTCGAACTCGTCGTCCATGACGTTGAGCTGCGCACGCAAGCCAGGCGGCGTTGGCAATGTCAACCCCTCTATGTCCACCAACGTCCGTGAATTGACCTTGCTCTCAACGTCTGCGGCCGCCATGCGTTCGAACTCGTCGTCAATGAGCGGAGCACTCTGAGCGGCCATCTGAGCAGCCTGGTCAGCTTGAGCAGCGACTTCTTCTTCTGCACGATACCAGGCTGCGTAGTCCCAGGCCGGGTGACCCAAGTCAGAATCATGATCATGATCACCAGGTATTTGACAGTGCGCCATGTCATCAAACCCACCAGCAGGAGCCCCATTGTTCCACCACCAGGTATCACCACCTGAAACTCCACCAGGACCCCAGGCACTTTGGTTTCCAGGATAAGTAGGATCGCAAGTCCACCAAGAAGCAGCGTCGCCTTGCCATCCATCGTCTAGCCATCCTGATGACCACTTGGACGATGTGGGTATGTTGTCGTCAGCCATCGCAAACCGTGCTTGAATGCAAAGCTAATGACAACTACATTGATGTGTCCGTGTGGCACAGGAACCTGTTTGGGCCATCACAGCCATGGAGTTCTCTTCATGGGCAATGCTATCAACAGTTAGGTAGGGGGGGATGTACATCAGGAGAGTCCCCAGAGATCCTGCACAACTCGAGGGTCCCCAGGAGAGGGTGGACTTGCGCGGGCTTCCGAGGAAGCCCGCGCAAGTCGTGCTACCCAGCGGGGGCCCGCACAAGTGGGGGGGGGGTCCACAGGGGGGGGGACTTGCGCGGGGCCGCCGCTGCCCTCAGGACTTGCGCGGGCTTCCGGGGAAGCCCGCGCATCTCGCACCTTGGATCCAGGGGCCCGACTTGCGCGGCCCCCCCTTGGTGCGCGGTCCGTTTGCTCCATCAAGATATGCAACCAAGATCCTGATTTTTTTTGGCCCTGATGCTGACAGGCGCCGAGATGCGCCGGATTCCGGGGAATCCCGCGCATCTCAGCATCAGCTCCAAAAAAAGTCTGCTCCACACGGACTCCAAGAGTGCTTTGGCCCCCAACAAATGATGAGGAAGAGGACAGACAGGAGGAAGAGGAGGACAATAGGAGGAGGAAGAGGGCAGGAGGAAGGAGGAGGAAGGAGGAGGAGGGAGGGAGGAGGAGGGGGAGGAGGAGGAGGGGGGGTAGGAGGGGGAGGAGGAGGAGGAGGAGGAGGAGGAGGAGGAGGAGGAGGAGACATGGAAGAGGAGAGGAGGACCAGCACATCTGACCGTGTTTGACTGCATATTGATTGCCTTTCATGGCGGAACCAGTGCTTGCGCCAGTGAGAATACATTACAATATGAGTGCAAGGCGCACTGCACACTGCTATTTTGGGGGCACGGTAGCAAGCATGCAAAACATTATTATCTGATAAACTCTGATGCCTCTGCTATCTATTATTTCGTGCCATAGCAGATGTAGACGAAGGAGAAACTCCAGGGGCGGACCTGCAGCCCCCGGGCGTCTGACGCTTTGTTAGTCAGACGCCCAGGTGCAACCATCTGCCCTTGCTTGATAGCTTCACTTTCCATGAGACGGGTCTCATGATCACGCCAGCATCCCAGCACCAGCAGGTGGCGCCATTGCAAGTGGTGGCCAGGAAAGAACTCCCTTTCACTATGATGATGGCTGTGGCGGCGGCCGCCTCGATCGCCAGGAGATGGTAGATAATATCCGCCGCGCCACCGCCACCCAGGGTCAGAAGTCGAGCCTATGTAGGCTCGACCTCCGCCCTGGGTGACCCGCGCTGTCTCCATGGCCACACGTTGCAGCAGCACTTCCATGGGAACCTCCATGATTGGCTGCGCCACCGCTTCCACATCAGGGCCATGCCGCTCGAGAGCAGCGGTGATCAACTCCTCGGCCTCCTCCTTCCCACGCTCCCAGCGGGCCTGACGGGCGCGCTCCACCTCTGTGTCGTTCTTTGGCGCGAATCGAAGAAAGTAGAACGTGTCGAGGGGCGGCGCAGCAGCATCATGAGCCCGGGCGTTGTCAGCAGCAGCTGGACACGAGGGGCCAGCAATATCATGGGTTCTGGCATCGTCAACAACAGGGGTTCCTCCTTGCTGCGCACTCGCGCGGCCTTCTCCACTACTGCCACCAACGTGTGTTGTTGGTGATGGATGTCCCAGGCTCCGCACGACGATGCTCCGGCAACACCTCGACTGGCGGTGCTGCCCCCTCGGCTCTGGCAGCGGCCCTGCTGCTGCCTCCAGCTGGCCCTCTCCACTGGCGCCTGGTCCATCGGCTCTGGCAACGACCCTGCTGCCTCCAGCTGGCCGCGACATGTGGGCACCAGCTCCACCTAGGCGCGCGCTCTCCTGGTGAACTCCACCAGCTAATAATGATGGTGGACAGGTCTGCTCCACCACGTGGGCCACAGGCGCCGCGCTCCCAACGCGCTGCCTGACTGCCCTAGCTACTGCGCGCTGCTCCTCTACTCGGGCCGCAGGCGCGCCACTGCGGCCGCGGGCATTGCTGCTACTAGCAACATCTACGCGCTGCCTGGCCATCCTGGTTGCACCGGCAGCGCCTGCTCCACAGCCTCTGCCAGGAGGGCTGTCCAGCAGATGATTCAACAAGTCTTCTGCCCGATCATCATAGTGGCTGCGGCGCGGGGGCGTCCCCGTCAACACATCGGCCAACCAGTGCATCGACCCAATGGCCAACGAGCGCCTGAACGAACAGCTTGATTGAGCCAAAATGGCTAGTGCGAAATCCGATTACAAATCCAACATTAGATTGCAATGCCCGCCCTTCACGGGCCCTCGCGGCCCTAAACGGAACATAGCGTTGTTGGTTGTTTGTTATGTGTGTTGTTCCCATGTGTTGTTGTTCTTTGCTTGTTTTGTTTATGGTTGGCCGCGCTCGTTGAATCCCCCTCATCTTCGTCTTGGGGCTTTCTTGGGCTGTCTTGCGCGCGTCATGGGCTGTCTTGGGCTCCAAAAGGGCCTCGGGAAAAAAAGCCTTGAATCAGGGGGGGACAAAACAAAATCCGTTCTTGAGGCCCTCTGAGGGCCCTTGAGACCGCCCTCAGAGCCCCGATACGGCTCCCAGAGGGCCCCTAGATGTTTCCAGGAGGGCTCCAAGATGGCCCATCGGGAGGGGCAAACCTAGGACGCAAGGTTCGCATCCAAGGTCTGGGGCCCATCAGAGCCCAAGAGCCCCTCTTGGGGCCTTCTGAGGGCCCCTGAGACCGCCCCTAAAGGTCCGACACAGCTCCCAGAGGGCACCAGGATGGCTCCAAGAGGGCCCCAAGAGGCGCCGTTCTGCGTCACGCAGACCAGGGATGGACATCTCAAGTAGCAGCAGCAGCAGCAGCAACAGCAGCAGCAGCAGCAGAGCTGCCCCCTCCTCCTCCTCCTCCTCCTCCTCCTCCTCATCCTCCCTCCTCCTTCCTCCTCCTTCCTGTGCCCCCTCCTCCTCCCTGCTCTCCTCGTCCCTCTTCCTCTTCGTTTCAGCCAGCAGAAGCAATGTTTCTCTGTGTGATGCGATTCGTCGGTGCCCCTCCCTTGCCATCTTGATTTCTTCGTCGAAGGCCAGCTAGCTGGCCGCCAGCAAGCTGGCTATCACGTTTGTGTGTGCGTAAGCATCCTAATTATCTTGCCTGCCCTTCTCTTGTTTCTCATCCTGCTCCTCATCACCCTCCCATCCTCTGCGAACTTCTCCTCATCCACGTTCCAAAGCTGGACCAAGCCTCCCCCTTAGACCTCCTCCCATATTTTTTGCGCGCACGACCGGGAGATCCTGGCTGCCAGAAAACTGGCGCCAGGCGATGTATATTGTAGCAATCATGGCGGCTCCCGCCAAGATTCACCGCAGTCGAAGTATAACGGAGGCTCACTTTAAATCGGCCTCTCTGTCCCAAGCAAGCTTGCCATCACACTCGCAGTGATGCATCTGAAGCAAAACATATCATGAACAGCCATGCTGGTGGCACAGCAGTGCCAGTAGTGGTGGTAGTAGTGGCTGCAGGCTGTTCATTCGAAACATCATGCACTTCAAGAGCGTATCTTGCGAGATGGCAGGAAGGAGTTCTCCTATCTATGCTGGGCCCCTCATCACTGTCTCACCGTCTGGGCCATAGTAGTAGCCCCTGTGCCCACTCTGGGCCCACGCGCGGCACCCGCCGCACCCCTTCCTCACCCAGCGGCATTTGCTGCACCCAGTCGTGCGGTCGGCCCCAGCAGGCGGCCGAGGCGGACCGGGTGGGGGCGCAGGCGGCACTGGGGGCGCCCCGTCCTCGTTGTCGCCCTGCTCGTCGTCGAACATGTCCTCGTCCTCTGGGGGCCCATCCTCGTCGCCGTTGTCCCCGGGCAAGCCTCCCTCCTCAGGCTCCTCGTCCTCGTCCACCTCGGCCTCCCCGTCGTCCTGGGGAGGCTCCTCAGCGGGAGCTGCTGCCGCTGCTGGTCGTTTCTGGATCTTCGCTGCACTTGGGCGTTTGAGTGGTCCTGCAGGGCGTTTCATGGCAGCAGCAGCTGGCCTTCTCATGATTCTCTTCACCTGCAACTCCACCACGCGCGGCTCACCGACCTCAGAGCCGTCGAAGACCAGTCCTGGCAACAGCGGGTCACTGGAGCCAAGTGGCTTCATGGTGTACTCGAAGACGAAGCGCAACTCAGGTGGCGCAGGCACTGTCCGTGCCAAGTTGGCATCGCATAAGTCATTCAGGTATTTGTGAGCCTTGGCGAGATCCCAAGGATGCTTCTGGACCACTGATGCGGTGTTCTTGAACTCCTTGATGGTCCTCTCCGACAGGGCATTGAGCTCGAGGGGCTTCAGGTCCTCCTGTGAGCCCGACTGAAGGCATCTAGGTTGGTACTCATGCAGCGCCCCCCCACCAAGGAGCAGGACGAGGAGGAGAGAGGAGGAGAGAGGAGGAGAGAAAAGGACGAGGAGGAGGAGGAGGAGGAGGAGGAGGAGGACATGGAGGGGGACTTTCAGGAGGAGGTGGCGCCAGGGTTATTGGAGTCACCCTTAGGGGGAAGGCCCCTGAAGGCCCTCTCCACATTCCCTGAAGGCCCCTGAAGGCCCCTCCTGAAGGCCCTTGTTGGGAAATTCCTAAGGGCGTCTTGGCTGGGTTGTCTTGTGGCCCTCTTGGGCCGGCACGCCTGGGCCGTTTTCGGGGGGTGGGCGATCTCTGGGGTGTCTTGGGCCGTCCTGTCTGGCTAGAATGGTTTGGCCAGCCCCCAACAACCCTGATCCTTCTGCAGGTTCTTGGCCAGCGCCTCTGGCAACAGGAGCAAGGGGGCCTGGCTGTAAACAGAGCTACTCATGAAGTGTTTCAGCAGGAGGATGCTGTCATGCCCCCCGGGGGCCATGTCCTTCCATTCATCAGGGCACTCGATGGCCCCATCCTCGAAACCAGCGGACTTCAGGAGCTCCCGTGACATGATTCTCCACAC